TGTATATTATCACAAAAATAATAATAAAAAAAAAAAAGAAGGAAAACACAACATATTAAATGCATTGCATTCTATATAAATAGAATATAGATAATTTTCCTTTTTCTTTTATTTCTTCTTATCTTTCGTCTGTTAATCATATCAAAACATTTTTTTCCTGCACGCATTATGTATTAATGATGAAGAAAGCGAGGGAGGGGGAAGAAGAGAGAAAGTGAACAAGAAAATAGTTGCAAATTATAATAATATATACCTAATAAGTAGTAGTACAAGCAATAGTACGATAGTGTTTTGAAGTGGTTACAAAGAAATTCGATTCTGGTGTTACTCAGGGAGCAATAAATATTACAAGACAAAAAAAAAAGAGTGAGGCGAGTAAAATATCTGTTTGTGTTCCCGTTACAAAGAAATCAGATCTAATAAATAGAAATGTAAATGAATAGTAAAAATGATATAGGAAAAAAAAAATTTCTCAAAGTCAAAGAAAGATAAATACACCAATTTATAAATAAAACAAAGCATCACTATATTGATCAATAATAATTATCATGGAAATCATGTTTCCTCTAAGCGCCACTCCATACTTTTTCATGATTAATTCGTATCTAAACTGTTCATGTCTCATTTCGTTCTATAATACATCTAAATTAAAATATTCTTACCTTTATGATTAATTGCATTGTTAGATTTTCCGAATTTGAATGAAATATTTTTAAGTACATCATCATCACTCTTAATATTATTTAAGAACATTTTTTAATTTATTTGACATCAATCAGTATATCTGGTTTTATTAGTTATTTGTTTAAAACTTTCAAACAGATAAGAAGTGAGAAAAAATTTTACGAAACATATTACAAATCCATAAAAACAAAACAAAAACCATCGAAAAAACTAAAATTCAGCATTTGTTTGGTCAAGTGTTATCTGTAAAATTGATGTGAAGGACGAATAACAAAAATAATGTTTAAAAATAAAACTCGATGACTCATTTGTCCAGCTCTAATGAACAGACTCTCATTTGCTAATTTTTAACCATTTAAAATCGTGAGGTGACTTTTGCGATTATTATTAGTATTATTCAATTGCAACCCTTGTTAATAAGTGGTAAAGAAGTCTTGGGACGATTTGAAAGAGAGACATAGTTCTCTATGAACGGAACAGTGCGCATCTATCGTCATTCCTGTCAAATTGTATGAACTGTCCAATAAAAAAGTACGATAAAATGCTGACTCTCTTGTCCATTTATATGACCTAAGAAATATTTTCTCTCTCACTGGAAAAGATCGTCTTATCTGTTGGTAGTTGACGATTCAACTTGTCTTTTTGGCTAAATGTGTGTGTAATAATATCGCAAGATTTATCTAACGTACCGGTCAAGTGGACGGTACTCCGCCAAAATTTAAGTTGGTCCCATCCAAGATTAACAATTGATTTCACAGAAAATAGTATTTTTCATATAGTAGCTGTCTTGGGTGCTTCTACAGATCGATCACACACTCACACTCACACTCCACACACACCACAGTAGGGGGTGTGATCGATCTGTAGAAGAACCCTGTCTTGGAACATTCATCTCTTCCCCCGGCAAACGAAATTCTCATAAATCACTGGTGACTGCAAATTCATTTGTCAATCTTTTCTACAAACAAAAAATCGTGTTAGTGTCTTAGATTGTGATTGTGATGTCATTTGTGTTCATCAACCTTTTCCTTCTGCTGCATACGTCATATACTTTGAGAATACCAGCGATATCAATGTAACACTTATTGCATGCGTGAGTAAGATACCATTCTCAAATTTTGTTGAACACTAATTTTTCTCTCTCGATATTTGATATATAAAATATTTCACTTCGAACGAATTTCAAATGAAATGTTGTTAGTAGTTTTTAGGAAAACAGAATCCTATTATTTATTTCATACATTTTGAATTCTTAATTTATGAATGAATCGTATTATTAACGACACACATATACATACTGATTTATCGGATATATCTAGGAAAAAAATTTGATTATTATTGTGAAAAAATATTTGTAAAAATGAACGATATCCATTAGAATTATTATTATGACCGGAGATATGGCAAAATAAAGTTATTTTTTGAAAAATCAATTTGACACAATATTGTGAACAACTCCCCAAGCAAATATCACCTATGAGAAAAATCTAGATACATTTCGTCTATAATCGGGCGATATACGACTATTTGTCATCTAGATTACTAGTTGGAAAAGGGACTTTTAACTAGATGCGTCTTCAGGTGCATCTAGTAATAGTTAAATCGAGCGATGAATCGATAGTTGCAACTAGAAAAAATCTAGTAATTGCCCAATTACTAGATTTCCATCGTCGTTACATAGTAATTGCGATCGAGTAAAAATCTAGTAATCTAGATGAATCGGGCGATATTAGATTTTTTTTTTGACGCCTGGGTACATACGTTAATGTTAATTGTAGTTAAATCAAAATAAATTGATCGCATAGCATCCACATTATCGCATTTAAAACAATTGTCTTATTTATACATATCGGGTATTGAACATATTGAACAAAAATCATTCTGCAAAACAATATTATCGACTAAAATGAGATCATGGAGAAATTATACAATCTTTAATTGTTCATTCGACATTGAATTTGATATAAATGAACAGTATCACATTGAACATTTTAATCATCTCACCGATATATAGGACTAATCATCCGTATTTGTTTATATGATGTTAATGCGTTCGTATCGATAACGATTATCTTGTCTGATTTTTATTATATTGTCTTGCATCTTCATGGAAGTGACTGTTTGAAGATAATTTTATCTTTCGAACATCAGGGTAGTAGATACTGAGATATCAAATCGTTTCCATTAACTGATAATAGTATCTAAAATCTTGTTTCATATTTAAAATATCTAAAAATAAATGTTACCAATAAATTGTATATTAAAGTTAAAGTATTAATTACTCGATGAATCAATGTTTCTACGATTAATATATAATAATGTTTGACATATATTTATCATTATTAAAAAATGTTGATTTCAATATTTTAAATATCTAAATGATCGAGAGAGTAGATTAAATAAATTATATTATGAAATTATCAAATAGATTATTGATTCACCAATTATTGGTATAGGCAATGTAATTATAGTCCATTAAATAAATATTAGTTATATGGTTACACACAAATTCATTGTTCAATACGATAAAAACAAAATTATTCAATACAAACAAAAAACAGTTTACAAAGACAATTATGACCATTTTTCTAAAGTAGTATGTATCGTAAATAATATACAATAATATTATTTTTCACTTGATTAAAGTCTTACAAACAGAATATAAATATATGATTATATCTTCATTTAAGATTTGTGTCAATAGTCAAGATTTTATAAAATATTTAACAAGAATGACATATGACTCAAATTGAACATAAGTGATTAATATTCAGAATGATTTTGTTTTCGAAGAAGATTGACAATATTCAAATGTCAATGAATTATGTTTAAATATTATGAACAATGATATTATATTATTACAGTGGATCAATTCATTTCTTATTTATAGTATATTATTATTTCATTTTCAAAATTAAAACGTTGTTAATTTTTCTACGATGAATTTGATGCTAAATACATATTCGATATTCAATGTGAATTAATCAAATCTTATATCAATCAAGTTTTAGTATTCAGACAACATAAATGTATTTATAAATTGCTTATTGATCCGTATACTAAACACATTACTAATATTGTTCGTATATTTCTAAACGTTAAAGATTTAACATGTTCATTTTATAAGATGATATTTACAAATATTTACCGATATTATTGAATAAATTCGTAAATTTGAAAAGTTGGTGTAAACATCGTCAAAAAACATATCCAAAGGAGACCATTTATCATTGGTCATTACATAAAGTTTGTAAACAAAATTTTCATATTGAAAAAGGAAATAACGATTCTATATCAATTTTAGATGTCATAAGGTTACAGTTCGTTATTTCAAATATATTTTGAACAGCATTTTAGTACATTTTTAATCATTTTTTATTATAGGTATTTTGATGGTGCATCTGAAAAAGTTTTATTAGAAAATAACTACTGAGAAAAAAGTTTTGTTAATTTTGTGAGAACGAAAACTTGATCAAAAGTCAACTTTTTTCGTATTCTAAAAAATTTTCATTTGATGTATTTTGATTTCAGAAACATAATATTTCATAATGGACGACATATATTATTTTTTTTTTCATGTTTTTAGATGTTTGTTTTTTAGTTGAAAAAAAAAATCAAATATTCTATGAGAACAAATTTAAATTTACGTCTATTATTTGTTAATGAAATGATGAAATTAATTAAACGTTATGTTATTATTTTCTCTTTATTTTTTTGTTTATATATTATTATTGTTTATAAAAATCGTCTCTTTCCATCATTTATATTTGGTAAATTTTATTTATTATCAACAGATAAAAATTTTACCGTAAAATTAAAACAATCACAATATTATTATCAATCTAAAACAAATCCAAATATTATATTATATGATGTTAAACAAGATAATCCATGGAAATTTCAATGTCCATTCACAAAATATAAAGAATCAGATATTTCAGATGTTCGAATTTGTATATATGATCCACAACATGACGAACATATTAGTGGACAATTAAATGACTATGGAAAATGGGAACCAGTTGTTGTAAGAAGTTTTTTAAGGTATGTAGCATACAGTACGTACGCATTCTTGGATAGTACCAAATACACTCTGAAATGAGTAAAAAAATTTCTGGAATACTATTCTAAAATGGTAGAATACCATTCTGGAACAAGAGAATTTTTTTAATTTTGGATCTAAGTATGAATAAAAAGCTTTGAGATTATAATGGAATAATTACAATTCTAGAATAGGTACATTTGTCCTGTAGTGCCTTTTCTCTCTTGATTGTACCTCAAAATCTCAAAAAAAGAAAAATCAAAAGTTTAGCTGAGAATGAACTGATATTTCAACGTTGTATTTTAAAAGATTCTTTCTAATTCATTATTTTTTTAAGATTATTACGTACAATTCCGAATACTCATGTGATCGATGTTGGTTCAAACATTGGTCTTTATACATTGCTTGCTACTCAATTAGATCGTCAAGTTCTCTCTATTGAACCATTGTATGATAGTCTAATACGTTTACATAAATCAATTCAATTAAATAATGTTGAACATTTAGTTACGGTAATTGCAAATGCTATTGGAAATAAACATGAAAAATTACAATTAAATATTGTTGATAAAAATATTGGTGGCTCTTATTTGTCTATACTGGATGATATGAAAGTTAACGCAGTACAAGAAAGAGAAATTGTACCAAAAATATTAGCTGATGTCGATACAATTGTTTTAGATGATTTAGTTGATATTTATCCGTCCTATTTTAAACGTGCAATATTAAAGTTGGATATTGAAGGTTTTGAAGCCTATGCATTTCAAAATGCCACTATTTTATTTAATAGAACAGAAATACCCGCTGTTTATATGGAATTTGGAAAACTAATTGAATTGAAATATTCATCTGGAATGATGGAGGCAATTAAACATATGATCGATTTTCTAAGAATAAGAAATTATGAACCGTATGAAGTGAATGATTTAAATCATTTATTATTTGACAATTGGGAGAGTTGGCCATGGGATATCGTGTTTAAACGATGTGATCTATGTAGATGTCCGGGCTTGGATAAAGCAGTGGGATTAACAGAATAAGTCAACTATACTAGTCAGTTAGAGAACGTGCATGTAGAGAACATGATCACTGTGGCTGTTATGTAAACTTGAGAATGAGACATCTCTCAAAATATCGAATAGATTTCTAAGCATGATGAAGACTGTCGGTTTCTTTTAACTTGGCCAGAGAAAAAAATAGATAACTGATGTGTAAACCATGTTCACAAGTATTTAGCTAGGAGAGACAATAGGACATGCTACTATTCCTTTCTTAGAAATATTTTGAATGAAACCCTTTTTTATTTTTTTAAGATGTGCACATGCATTCCAAAAGAAAAAGATCTAGAAACGTGCTGCGTATTTCTAAAAGTCTCACCTTAGTCAGTTAGAAAAAAGCTAACTGTTACTATATGGAAGAGCGCAAATTTGAACGCCTTCCCTTGATTAAATCTCCATTACGCTATTAAATATTACATCGAGCAAAATTTTGTACATTTCTCTCTGTGTATATTGTTTTTCTTTTTTCATCTATACATTTTTTGAATCTCACATTTTGTACTGTAATATTTGCTTCACTTAATAGAAAAAAATTTTCTTGTATAATTTTGACAATATTTTTTGTTATTGTTCAAGGTTGCTAATACAACGTGTAGTCTGACTTGTTTTGGAATTTGTATATCTTTTTTATAAAAGTATTTCGTAGTCATAATAGTCGAATAATTTCTTTTTCTTCGACGTTTTTACTAGTGTTCAGTTATTTGTTATCTTTCTATTTGGTTAGTTTTATACCGATGATTAAACATAATAAAATATTGCTATACTTTGCAACTGAAAGGATAATATGTTTAAGATTTCGACATAGAAATTGCCATTGAGTCGATTTATACTGCTAGACTTGTTTTCTTATAATAAGAATGCTGAAAGTGTTAAAAATCCATGTATGTGTCTGTCGTTGCCATATTAACCGTCGGCATGACACGTATTACGTTATAGTTTATTGCAATAGCACGTGTCTGCTGGCTATGTAAAATAAATAGACATCATATTTAATTGTTTTTGTTAAATGATTGAATGATGAACGATCAATTTTGAATTAGAGGTGAACGTTTCGCGTACCGAATACAAATAATTTTATTTTCGATAAAATACTACTTAACAGATTACTCTTCTTTGAGTTTCTTTACAACTCAAGTTAAAATAAAAATATCAACAGTAAAAATCATGTTTATAGTAGTGAAAAACAAATTTCCTCACATAGCAAAAAATCAGACTGATGTCATAAATAAAATACAGTTCAAAGTCAACGAAATGTAACTCGCAATGTATAACTATAAGCGATTGAAATCTATAATTTGCTCTTGTTCGGCTAGAGTTATAGGTGGCAAAATATTTAACTAATCTGTTCTTAGTAAACTGATGGAAAAGATTAGAATGGTATCTGTTTATCCCCGCTTTCTGATCTTATCATCTTTCTTTTTTCACTTAATTTCAATTCAACAGCCATATTTTACTTAATGGAATAATTTACATTTAAACAAAAAGAAATAAAGTAGAAATAATTATTTGTCTAATTGTTTGTGCATGCGTGTCTATATATAATGGCCCATTTATTATTCTTGAATAAAACTACATTGTTTCTTCAATATTTTGTACAAATAAAATGTCTTTTTTTCTTTTTTCATTATTTTGCATATATGTCTCAATATATTGAGATTTTTATCTATTTAGTAGAGTTAGAGAACGAGTAAAAGCTGATGAAGATACAAACATTTAGTAGACAATTTCATTAATTTTTCAGTGTAAAAATTTCCAACCTTCTCCCATCATAATCGAGAACAATGTTAGAAAAAAGAATTTTCCTAACTGTTACTCGAAGATTACAGTTTTGCATACATAAATCCAATCACTGATCTTTTTTTATTTTTTTTATTTACACAACGAAGTGATACACACACACACACTCACATACATAGACAAAGAACAATGTTTTAGGATATTATAAAAATGAAACAGATCAAACAGAATGAATCGAAATTCCAAAACGATTGTATACACAAATACAAATGTTGCGGGAAAAAACATATAATTATTTTAAATAAGATCAGCAACATTCATTGGCATTTCATCGATTTGTGTGCTGTAATATTGTTCGATATCACGAAGAATACGAATATCGTCATTTTTAACAAAATTAATCTAAAAATAAAACAAATTTACATTAAACTGTACATATTTGAAAAGGTTAAAATCAATTACTTACAGCAACGCCTTTTCTTCCAAATCGTCCTGAACGACCGATACGATGAATATATAATTCACGAGAATTCGGTAAATCATAATTAATGACTAATGACACTTGCTGTACATCAATACCTAAGAGGAAATACATACGATAAATTTGAATTATAGATTAGATAATTTTGCTGTTATTAGAAACATCAAACTATTACTTACCACGTGCCCAAACATCCGTTGTTATCAGTACGCGAGTATCACCTGCTCGAAATTCTTTCATTATTTCATCTCGTTCTTTTTGTTCCATATCACCATGCATTGACGATACGGTAAAATTAGCTTCACGCATTTTTTCTGTTAGCCAATTGACTTTACGTTTTGTATTACAGAAGATAACAGCTTGTGTTATTGTTAACGTATCATATAAATCACACAATGTATCAAATTTCCATTCTTCTCTTTCGACAGCAACAAAAAATTGCTTGATACCTTCGAGTGTCAATTCATCACGTTTAACCAGAATACGAATGGGTTCTGTCATAAATTTTGATGTTATTTCTAATATTTCGTGTGGTAATGTAGCACTAACTAATACAACTTGAGTATTTGGTGGTAAATGACGATAAACATCATAAATTTGTTCTTTAAAACCGAGATTTAACATTTCATCAGCTTCATCTAATATTAACATACGTATATGACGTGTACCTGTGAAATAGAAAATAAACAATATCTAAAAACTGGTTATTACTCTCACTGATCTGTTGAAGCAAAAAGTTTACTTTTTGTCTTTGAAGAAACTAGGTCAGCTTTAAACCTAGGTAAAATTTATACTTACGTAATGAACGACGGTTAATCATATCTGTGACTCTTCCTGGAGTTCCACTCACAATATGTTGTCCATAATCTAACTTTCTCATATCTTCAGCTGTATTTGTACCACCGATACATGCATGACATTGAACATTCATATAATCACCTATTGCCAAAACAACCTTTTGTATTTGTTGAGCTAATTCACGTGTGGGTGATAAAACCAGTGCCTGAGTTTCACGAATGTTTGGGTCAAATTTTTGTAACATAGCAATTGAAAACATGGCAGTTTTGCCTGTACCTGATTGTGCCTGTGCAATAACATCGCGACCTAACGAAAAAAAATTTCAATAATAATGTTTAGAAATATCACTAACGTAGTGCTCAATAACATTCTTAATTCTTCCTGCAATAAACAATCTTATAACAAAACTAAGTAAGTCTGATTTTTACCTTTAATTATTGGTCTTATTGATCGTTGTTGAATGGCTGATGGCTTTTCAAAACCGTATGAATAAATACCGCGTAGTAAATTTTCATTAAGTGCCATATGATCGAATGTTGGTGAAACTTCAACATCTTCACTTGTTTCAAAATCAACCGAATCTAGATCATGACCAGTTTTAACGGTACGAGCTCGTTTAGCTGGACGTTCAGGTATTGTTGACATTTTTATTATTGTGTGATGGCAAATTTAGATGCTTACAAATCTAGAAATAGTAAGGACGTAAATAAACTGTTGAAATTTCTCTACATCTTTGGTAAGATTGCTAATGTATCAATAATTATCGTACGATTCTTCTTAGGAAAATTAAAATGTTAGCACTTTCTGTTTGAGTAACACAAAATAGATTTAAGAAGAACAAAGCAAATCAAACTAGACATCACATACACATGGGTCTCATTTCCTACTTTTACAGAAATCGGCACAAAATGAGGGGAATGAATTGTTGTAACAAATATATTTTGTTCTATACAGTACACGCGACAACAACAAAAAAAAAGGTTTCCTTTTTAGTCAAAAAATATATCTGACGAGTAGTTTTACAATAACATATTCGAATTTGAGCAAAATTATTACAAAAAAAATAGATAAAATAGATTTGATTGTCTTATCTGACATTGATATCTGTACAAAAGTTCATCAAGATTCTGTTGGTTTAGTTGAGGCTGTAGCACCACCGGTTAGTATTTTTCTACTCTCATTGAAATATTGATTCGGATGATTAATTCCAATACCATGATTTTTTACATTATGTTGATATTCAAAATATATCTGACAAGCAATTTGATAATGATGATTTTGTGAACGATCAACAATTTCATTCAATACTTGTTCATCATGAATACCGTAATTTGTTGATAAACGTTGTTTCAATGTATTTGGATCCCAGTGACGATATGGGCAACCATGATACTCATTGACACCTGGAGGTGGGTCCTGAATTATTTTTACACAGCTATATGGTGTGTACGATGTATGTTTCCCTTCCTGGCCATAAGCATGGCGAATATTATAAACATGTTCGCGTTCAAACTGTGTAGGATTCATTGAACCATTACTAACAAATTCATTTCGAAAAAATTTCAAACATTCATCCAAAGATAAACCAATACCTAAACAATAAGTAGACTTTTGTTATTATCAGCTCTTAGACTAGTGGTACTAATGTATACCTTTAAGAAAGAGTCGATATTGTAATCGTCCTAAATGTTTTAGATGATGTTGTTTTGTCATTTGTTCATGTAAATGTCTCATGCATAATGGATAAGATTTTTTAGCCAATGTATCTAACATATCGTATGTAATTGTTTCTGTCTGTTCATTTTCATTAAAATTTGTTGTTGTTACACCCACTGTTCGTTTCATACCCAAAACTTTTAGTACTGATGCAATACGTGTGTCTAATTTTTTCATTAAATGAAATTTTTTCGATGCACACGTCATTTGATACGATAAACTTGTTCGATATTGTTGTAAAACAAATGAAATAATATCATGTTCAGATATATAAGCATAACCTGCACGTAAATAACATCGTCGTAAACGAACAAGATCCGGAACATGTTGAAAACGTACGCGAAAATAAGTTACTTCATCGAAAGTTTGTTGAATATGAGTATAATGGAATGAGGATGATGAATTAATTAGTTCTTGTTTCAGTTCTTGTTTTTGTTCATCATTGACTACATCATAAAATTGTTTAATATTTGGTGAATTTTTTAGATATGACAACTGCTCAGTTTTTGTCATTAGATTAAAACGATAACGAAATAATTCAATTTCATTTGTTAGAAACCAACGACGTTCTTCGTCGTTTTGACAATAAGCTAAGTGAGAATAAGAGATAAATAGGTGTAAAGAAAACAACGAAAATTAGCACAATTGTCACTTTTATGAGTTTCACGACAGCTATCAAGCACAGAACATGTAATCGAATAACTTTACTATGCTTCATTTTCTTTTTGAACCAGGATTCTTGTTACTTTATCTAAATTTTAAATATGTCAATTTTTCTTTCAGTTCTTTCCGTAATAATTTTTCAATTTCATCTGTTTTTGTTGTTGAAGCTGTTGTCAATGTTGTATTTAATTTGGCTAACGCTTGTTCAGTACATTTCAATATTTTTAGACGTTCCATTGCTAATGTTTGAAATTGTTCTAATGGAATTGTTTCATGAGGATAATAATCATAATAGGGTATATACACACTCGACGACGAAGGAATAGAAGATATCGACGGTAAAGATGATTTTGTGGAACCAAGAGAATAACGAGTTGTGGGATACTGCATCGTATTATATGTTTGCAACTATCTGTAATAAAAAACATTTTGTTGCTGTGTTCTTCTGTACATTGTTTACTTATCTCATAGCCTTTTTATAAGCCTCTTCATTGCATGAAAGTTAGGGCTTTTTTATGTACAATAGTAATGACTATCAATTTCTATAGAAAGTACATTATGATGGCTATCGAAATTGAGCTTTTCGGCATGCGACAAACAACCTCAAAGTAGAAGAGTACTTAAATTCACTTTAGATGAAAAAAAGTTATTTTAACCTTCAAATATACACTCTTGTTCTCGAATAAAGGAACGAAATAACTTTTATAATAACAAAGACAGAAATAACAGAGAAAAATAAACTTTCCCTTAGAAAGGTAGCCTTCTTAGCCCATAGGTAAATATACTCTTCATACAATGCGGAAAAACTATTATTTGCACACACATAAATGGGAAGAAGATTGAAAACAAAGCTCGAACAGTAGAATACAATACATGAATGAGACAAACATATTTACTCTTGGACTATTGTCTAAACATAAATGAGTAAATGTTCGAATCCTCATTCTATGCAACGTGCGATTCTTGTGTTTGTCCCTATCAAACTGCTGATATCTCTTGGGCAAGAGATGGAAATAAGTCTTCCATGTATTTAGTAGGGTTAGTACATTCAGAATACGATAGCGTAGGATCACATCATATAAAACAGAAAAGCAGGGATATGGATGTCAAACAGAAAGGAGAAAGTTATTGCAAGATGTCACACTACCAATTCGAATAGTATTCAAAGGTTTTTAAATTAGAACACAATAAAAAAACACTCAGAAGAGCGAGAAATACTCGTTATGTGTAGAAACAATTTTCATCGAATGTCTCTTATGGCGAAAACTTAAAAATGCAGTTTTAGCTTGAGGTATAAGAGACTAATAACAGCACATAAGATGAAATCGAATATTTACATAAACTTTCATATTTTTAAAGAAAAACGTTTGCGCAAGATTACTGAAAAGAAATCAAATCAAAACATTATAAGAACAACGATTATATTTATGAAAACAAATCAATAACAAAAGGAAAAGACACCATTCTGATCGATAACACTTGCTTCCACACACAACACAAAGATGACAAAGTGCATTAGTGCGCTACAATGTCGGATAAGTAGGAGTGGTTCTGAATTCGATGCGAATGAAATCGCATGTGCAGCATATAATTGTGCACATGCCCCTAGTAGACTTCATCAAACTTCAATAATTTTTATTATCATTAATTAATCTACCTTTAAAATCTTAGAGATAGTCTCGTCGTGAAGAGTATATAGATTGGTCTTTAACCTTAAGAAGAAATCCGATAAAAGGATCTAAGCGCTCTGCAAATTTAATAGATTTTTAACTCCAGTCAAAAGCTCGATTCTCATTCATCCCCCAGAAGCTTTTGATTACTTCAGAATCCATCTCAGAAAAATCTAGCGCAGTGTATTGTCACGTCAGAAGGAATGGTGAATAAGATTCAATCTGTCTTTACTAAACTATTTTGTTAGTGGCATCTGCCGTCCAATTTTCAATTTTTTTATAGTTGATTGATTTCAATATACAAATGATGATGATTGATAACCTGAAAATCGGCAGCAAAACGACGATAATTGGGGTGGATTAACGTTTTTTTTCTAACGTTTCTTACCGACAGGAGAAGCCTGTTGAATAATACTTTGTAGATAAATCATTAATAGAAAAATTTACCATATCGCAAAAATATTTTTCTCATCATTAAAATTGTGTTACTATATTGTCTTGTGCTTTTTATTTTTATCTTCAGATGTTCTTTTTTACTAAGTTAGTATATCGTCACTATCAATGTCAAATTATTTTTTTTGTTATCGTTTTTCTCATTAATATTTGTTATTCACAAAATGTCCAGCAAGAATCTATTTTAACTAGTACATTATCATCATCGAATCTTGACATTCGTAAGTATTTAACTTCCAAAGGATAACTTCCTTATTATAACGTGTTTGTTTGCTTTTGATCTAACAGCAGCAGCATCAGTAGCCAGCCTCCGTGACGATATTTCTGATTATTCTCAAGAAAAAGTGCATGCACATATCGATTCAAGGCAAAAATTTCGTGCATCATTTACACATGAACATCCGGAATATGATGAAGGTAATACTGAAGAAAATAATAATCATATCATCAGATTATTACTTCATCTTATTCTTTTTGTAGTTTTGAATGATTACAACAAACGTTTAGAAGAAATAGAAAAAGATGAAACAACATTCCAACACAATCATCCACAAAATGTTCATTCTGCACATATTCCTGACACCATTACCGACCTTAATCAACAGTATAAGCATGCTACACAACCAGTTCAATCATCTAAGCAGCAACAAGAACAAGAACAATATTCTACAGTAACTAATCACACCTCTAACATTCTACCTGAACAATCTGTGACACCATCTCAGAACGAAAACACATATCATCATAATGCACATGTACACCAGCATCAACCACATCAAACTCAATTGCCTCTCGACATTGTCCATCAAGTTTCAGATCATCCTTCTCAGCAAATATCACCGTCAACTCATCCAAACCAAGAGCAAATGCGACAATCGTCTACTAGATCTCAGCATGAACAAGAACCATCCTCAACATCGCAACAAGAACTCACATCACGAGCAACGAAGGAAAAGTCCGAATCAGGTTGGTGGATTTTCTAATGTTTGTTTTTGGATTGTATGAATTAAATCCAGATAGTTGCATTGTGAGAATTTTTTATAAGAAGAAATGGATCCGACACAAACCAAAACAAATTTTTTACTTTGTAACTTTTCATCATGAACTCCTCATCAAGTTTTTATCGACAAAAGAGAGTATCGATAGGGTTGGTCTACTTGACCGCAGGCCTAGATCGAGAGATATTCGAAGATTATGTTTGTTCAACCATTATTTATCTTTCGTTACTTCACTCATTGTTTTTTCAGTTACTCAAGACACTATGACAACAACTCCGACCATATCTGTGGAAGAAACCCAAAAATTTGAAAATATCAATATACCTCATGCACCAGTACCTCTATCAGAATCTGGTCCGATGCAATCAAAAGCTGAACAAAAGAGAAAAGAACCTATGGCAATCGATCCACTGATAGCTACTGTAGAAACGATAATGAATGATGTATCAGAAACTGTTTTGACATCTAATGAGGTAAAGGTGTCAATTGTTCAAACTACTTCAACAACAACGATTTCAACCATGGATTCAAATATAGATCATCGTACAGACAACGATATATACCTTCCTAATGCTACTCATAATCAAACGACTAAGGAAGGAGAGAGAAAAACAGATCAACAAGATGATATTGAACGTTCTAAAAGTCTTAATAACACTGCATCAGAAACTGTTTTGACATCTAATGAGGTAGAGGTGCCAACTGTTCAAACTACTTCAGCAACAACGATTTCAACCATGGATTCAAATATAGATCATCGTACAGACAACGATATATACCTTCCTAATGCTACTCATAATCAAACGACTAAGGAAGGAGAGAGAAAAACAGATCAACAAGATGATATTGAACGTTCTAAAAGTCTTAATAACACTGCATCAGAAACTGTTTTGACATCTAATGAGGTAGAGGTGCCAACTGTTCAAACTACTTCAGCAACAACGATTTCAACCATGGATTCAAATATAGATCATCGTACAGACAACGATATATACCTTCCTAATGCTACTCATAATCAAACGACTAAGGAAGGAGAGAGAAAAACAGATCAACAAGATGATATTGAACGTTCAAAAAGTCTTAATATACATACTCATCACGGTCGTATTGAAACATTATTAACGGAACAACTTGAACATAATGATGAACAATTTCAAAGATATTCTGACGAAAAATTGGTTCATAAAAGATCAGTAGATATTTTGTCACAAGAAAAAAATCACAGTGAAGTGAATAACACTGTATTTCAAGAGCAAGATGTCACAAAATTACCGAAAACGAATGTATCAGATACCACGAACGACATATTATCATCCATCAAACAAGAAACAATTGAAGAATCGATCGAAGAGAAAAACATTGTTGATGATAAACTATTAGCGAATACAACAACTGCGACATTGCTAACGAATTCACATTTGCCACGCGTTAATGATGAGACAGTTGAGGAAAACAACACATTACTAACAACAATTCAAACATTGTTGGTTGATCACGAGCAGAACATCAGTAGTAATGCAAATGAAACAAGCGATGATTATTATGTAATTAATAGTACTGAGCAAACATCTGAAACTCTCAATGAAAATATCACACACCTGGCGAAAGTAAGTGTATTAAATTGAATTGAATGTATTTTGACTAAAAATGTTACATAGTCAGTAAACAAGCAACAAGAAAATTCCGCCTACATAAGAGGCACTGTTTCTAATAGAAAGAGAGAAAAAGAAAAGATAAAATGAATCACAATAAAGTGAGAGAAAAAGAAAAACAACAAAAACCATTCTTAGGGCCACAACCACAAGAATAGCAAGAACATACTAAAATTTATTACATGATTTTAGAGAAGGATTTCAAATACATATTAATTGGCCGTATGTGCTATTGAGGGAGAGAGACTATTCTACTACCTAGAGGTGAGGGGTGTGAAAGAAGTTGAAGCTTTTGTAAAAAATGTAAAGCAATAACCTGTTTGTCGTTTCCAAAACGCGAAGATTTCCTATTATGTGAAGGTATAATGAGATTAAGATGTGAAAGAGGACTTGTGCCATAGGAAATTTTATGGAAGTGAATGAGTTTGAAACAGAGTCTTCAATTTTCGAGATGATAAAGTTTTAATTTGAAATGAAGTACTATCGGATCAATTGAGTAGTCGTTCACTATAACTCTAACCGCCAAACGCCCAAAATGAAGACAGAGATATGGTGGTGTTGTGTTAGACACTGTACGGATAGAACCTAACATCTTTCTGCATCTGGAGCCGTCTGGTTGATATGTTCTTTTCAAGTTAGATTGTGAACATAATGCACTTCTAGCAGTTTTAAAGAAACGTTCTCAAGCAAAATGCCATTTAGTTTCAGTTCACCTAATTTTAAAAAACAGTAGAGAAAACAATCCATTGACATTTATTAGCATTAAGTTTCACTAACATCCTCTCACATCACTGCGACATTTCGTTCACGTTTTATTCTTGAGCTATGCTTAAATTTGCATTTTCAAAATCCGCAACACAGAAGACATCGTCGGCAAAAAGAGAATTGAACCTAAAATATTACCCTGAGGCACTCCTGATGTAACGGTTACTCTTTTGAACAGAACAGACTCTACAAAAACTACTTGTGATCGATCAGACAAATAAGATGCAAATCAATTGTACAGATCTCCATGAATTCCAGCATGTGATAATTTTCCTAAGAGAATTTGATGCGGAACTTTATCAGATGCCTTTTCTTTTTTTCCTTATCAAGAATCGAGTTGCTTTAAATAAACGTAGTACCAGCTTATTTGATTTAAGTACTGTTTTAATAGGAATGAATATTTCCATTGCTTTTGTGAAATGTTGAACCCAAAGTTCGGTAGCTAAGGTTGGGTCGGAACAAAGATAACAGGATGATTCGAGTTGGTTCAGAAACCTGGTGAAAGAAAAGAAATTAATATTTTTGTAATCGAAAATTTGCCTTGTTTTTAATACTGGTAACGGTTGAATAGTTTCTGACTTTGGTTTGTTAATGTTAGATGAGAGAAATATGTTATCAATCTATGGTTTTTGAATGTTGTTGGGGTTATAATGGATGGAGATAGATCAAACGTACCTAGAATGCATTTTAAATATTTATTGTCCTCACATTGAAATCGCCTGTGAGGATTAATAAATAATCTTTTTTGACGTGTAATAAAAGAAACTATGAAAGTTTAAAAAGTATCCATGTAACTAATTCGATCATTTTAACTGGTGATCTATATATACGACAAAGAAAATATGGTTGATCGTCGATACTAACAGAGAGAAGGATAGCTTCTGACTCCGTAGAACATGCGATGAGTGAGTGTTTTACATCGTTTCAATAAAAATTGCTATTTCTCCTCGTCTACGGCGTTTATCACATCTATACAAAGAATAATTTTTTATATTCATCTCGCTATCAAAACTGCTTGATGAAAGAAACATTTGAAACAAAGAATCATCCGATTATGTTCAAAGGTATTTGACCGCATCAAGATGTAATGAGAGACTCTGGATGTTATGGCTTAAGATTTGAAATTGGCGAGAAAGTTGTGGCACAAAAAGCGAGGCATGTGGATTTAGAGTGGGGAAAGAAGAAAGTTTAAAGGCAGAGAACACACATGCACCAGAATTATATAAACTAGCAGAGACATACACATATAAGGCATTCCGATAGACTCCTCGCCTAGTATACACGCCAAATTGCTACTGATGAAAAATGAGGAAAAGTATTTTCTAAACGTGTCCATAACTACTTGATTATCTGTAGAGTTCAAACGGATTCTATCTGCATTTAAATGTTGTTGTTTTATATCAAAAGAGATAATATCGAAATGAATTTTGTCCTCTAATTTCTGTTGTTTTAATTCAAATAATTAATCATTAAATTTATTAACACGCCTCCATGAGACAATTTCGATTACTTTTATAACTACGTTAAAATATTTAAGTATAAATAAAAATCATTTTGGATTTCTAGATGGCCGACGTGAATGATTCGATTCTACTACCTTCCATCTTAACCACTACTCCCTCATCTATAATTGATCCTATCCAACATGATATCACTAGAGTGTTCAACAGGCAAATATGTTGGCAATTACCAGCAGCATTTGAACCAAGTATGCAATTAATTGAAAATGAAATATTAAAAGGAATTAGCATGGTGAGACTGTTTCTCTTATGGATAAATTTTATTATTTATTCATTTTATTTTTATTTTTTCTAGTTACCAGAATTTATTCAAACATTATGTTATTCTCATGATCAAAATAAAGAAACAATGTGGAATAAACTATGGTTTTTCTTCATTACAATTTTATGCATAATTTTTGGTTTGATATTTTTATCTATTGCTTATAAACGTTTATTACAAAATAAACAAGATATTGAGCTTCGAATACGTTGTCAAGCATTACAACAACGATGTAATCAAGTTGAATTAGAATTAGAAACATATGAAAGACAATGTCAAAAGTAAATACTTCAATAAATTTTAAGTAGATCTTTTTGTTTACAAATTTTGTTTACAAATACTTTATTAACATGGCTTTTTTTTAACATTCGAAGTATCATTTTATTCTAGATTAGAAGAAGAAATTGATGACACCAAAAATCAAACAGTTAAAGATTCAGACGAAGATCTATTTCAATTACGTAATGAATTAGATTGTGTTAGTATGAATTTGGATACTGTTAGCCAAGATAATGAAATAAAAGTACAACAAATAACAGAATTAAGTTATAAACATCAAAAAAATTTAGAAATAATTAATCAATTAAATGAACAAGTATGCTAAATGAATAAATCATCTCGATTAAAAATAAAAAATAAAATTTTCTTTTTAATATGTTGTCATTCTTCTTTTAGTTGTTTACGTTGAAAAATGATTTAGAAAAAAAACAATCAATAATTTTACGTCTTGAATCGACTGATTTAACTTTAGAACGATTTGAAAAATTACAGGAGACAATCAATCAATTACGTCATGATATGAATCAATTAAAACAAGAAAAATCTTTATTAAATAATAAGTATGATCAACTGGTAGAAAAATCAAATAAAAATGAAATTGAAAATACAGAATTAACAACAAAAATGAAACAACTGAGAACAATTATTATTGAACGAGATAATATTATTCAAATAATTAAAGATAAAATAATGAATAGGACAAAAGTAATGAAACAAAAAAATGTTGATGAAAATGATGACGTCAACGAAGATGATGACGAAGATGAAGATGAACAGGAAGAACAAAAGTCAGGTATTTAAAAATCATGTTTACTTTTTCAAAATAAAAGGTTATTAGGATAATTTATAATATTAACAAACACTATAAACGTATATCAATTGTTATTGATGCTTTTAAATTTTAGATTTTATATCATTAAATGAAATATTGGTAACTTGTTCTCAAATAAATTTAATGGATACAATGTTAAATGATATTGATATGGATGTTGAAAAAGCTTCCAAACATGTTCAAGAACTCAACGATGATATTGAACAACGAAATAAACATGTTAAAGAATTGGATATGCAATTACATCAAGAAAAAGAACGTTGCAAAGAATTAGAGACAAAATTAAAAGTTGTATTAGAATTAAGAGAACGTGATGCTCATTTACATATTAGGTAAATAAAAATGATTTTAATTTTTGATTTCATTATGTATGCATCTTTTGATTTTGATTTCTAGACAATTAGGGCAGACTGATGCTGAATTAAGAAAAGCTCGAACAGATGGTGATCGTGTAAGAATACTTCAACAACAACTTGAATTGAAGCAGTACGTTTAGTCAAAAAAAAACAAAAAAATTTAAGAAAACATAAGTTTTTTTCTTATCTTTAACCCGTTTTTTGTTTTTCAACGTTTGTTATAGACAACAATTGGACGATGTTCAAAAACTTGCACAACAAGATCAAAATAAACTAAATGAGGAAAGAAGTAAACATGAACGAAGTAATCATGAAAATTGGGTAAGAAATGACGATAATTTGTTTATTTTGAAAATAGACGTATCAATTGAATTGTTATATTTATTTAGTTTGAAATTAAAAAACTTACACGTGAATTAGACGCGATGAAAAAAGAATGCGAAGATCTTCGACGACAGTATGTATCTATATTTAATATTGTTTTAATATAGTTGAAGAGCAAATTTATCTTATAGAAACGCTAAATATGCTAATAATGAACGTATATCACAAGAAAAAATAATGAAACCAGTTGCTCAACATGTCAATAGTATGTGCACAAGAAATTTTCTATCTATTTGTTTTATTCTCATTCATTTTTTCTTTTTAGATCACACGTACAATGACATGGAACTGAATGGTAACACAATTTCTCCTCCATTAAACTATCCCAGTGACCAGTATGTTAATTGGAAATATTTTTTCGACTGCTCTAATTCAATTTTTTTTTCTATTTTTTAAGTTTTAGAACAATTGATCAGGCAAGAGATTCTGGCACCCTGAGTCCAGCTGATATGTTTCGAATGACAAGTATAACATTGATTTTAATAGTTCTTAGTTTTTTTCAAAATCTGTATGTTGCTCTTAAGGGTACCCTTCCTTTCTGGGATATAAATTTCAAAAATAAGCTTGACATGATTCTATTATTTATTTATTATATGAACCGATTGCTCTCTTCAAAATGAAAGCCACCCCAGCACTCAGAACTGTTTCTATCGCGAGTTATTAAAGTTTCAAGATTTTGTATCCGGATTTCTTTTTCAATTTTGTAATTTTTAAAATTTTTTCAACTCGGTAGAAATGAAATCAGATAGTTCAAAGTGTTTTCGTCAAAAAGAGATGTTTCCTAGCTTTAGGAAGTGCTTAGCTGAAGAGTTATAATGATTTTTCTGAGAGTCTCGACAAATATGATCTTTTTCATTCACTATATATATCGCTGAATCGCTTTTTGTCAGCTCCCTTTGTTTAAATCTGAATTTTGTCTTTTAGGACCGCCTATGTTTGGTCCTCCACGGCCTCCATTTTTTCCACCATTTATGCCACCACATCCCTATACCATGGGTGCTCGTTTTCCAATGGGACCTAATCATCTTATGCCAGGTGGCTTCATTTCACCGATAAGTCAAATAATGACTAATGGCCATGGTATTGGAAGCGAAGAAAATTGTGGTGAATCAACGAATATCACACCAAATTCTATTATTTATGATAATTCTCAAGTATCATCACTTCATGGTATCAATGATCAAAATACATTGTCTTCAACAATGTATCCATCACAATCATCAGGTATGCTTTCTTCATAAGAATTTTGTATTCTTTGACATCTGTTTCTATGCATTTAGATTATGGTGAAAATCAAACGAAAGATAAATCTAAAAAGCAGAAGAAAATATCAAAAGATGATAAAGATAAAAAGAAGAAAAGTAAAAAGACTAAAGATTTGGATACCACACAACCAATGTAATAAATTTCCACATGTAAAACGTCTGATTAAATTATATTTCTATTTTTATATTGTGCTTGCCACATCTGGTTACATATTTATATGAATGTGTTTGCATTCGTGTGCTTTATTTTAATTTATTTTTTAACCGGCGGTTAACAATGGATATTTGTACATTTTATTTATTGAGGGAAGACTCATCATCATCCTCATCATTATCATTATCATTAACATTATCATCATCATCACCTTAGGAATATTCATTTTTACCTGTCAAAAGACATACCTTTTTTGTTTGCTTCTCTACGAGGCTTATATTTTACAAGAGAAGAGAACATACAGACTTATTTATTGTCTACCGTTTCTTATATGTTTTGTTTATTTGTTTTTAATTGTTGGTGTTGCTGTTTTTTCTCTTCTCACTTATGTTAACACCTCTAATATTGTTTATTTTTCTCGTTAATATATATAGTATGAGAAGATAAAAAATAACATATGGCTGAATTTCGTTGATTTTGCTCATTTTGCGTTGTCACGTACAGTTTACAGAAAAGGAGAAAATTTTTAGTAAATACAGCAGACCTATTCTCAAAGGTTTTGTTTGATAAATAAATATTTAGAATTCCTTCTTAACCCTTTACCCTCGACAGCGGTTCCAGACGAGCCATTGATGAAACAACTACTGAAATAGAGTATTGGTATCTCCAGGGAATGACTTTATGTCATTCTATGGGAATGACTTGAAAAAGTCCTATTTTGGGCTTTTCGTAAATTTGATATAGTTCGACCAAAAAATATCGTAGAGAGCTCGGGAACATCTCATTTTGTAGAGAATTTTTTTGCTCTATCATTCTACGTAGTCTTAATAAAATTCTCTACAAAATGAGATGTCCCCGAGCTCTCTACGATATTTTTTGGTCGAACTATATCAAATTTACGAAAAGCCCAAAATAGGACTTTTTCAAGTCATTCCCCCCAATGGACACTCCAGTAACCATTCTGTGTCATATCATCTCTTATCTACCTGGCTTTTTTGAAACTTTCGAAAGGCATTGATGTTGTAGTACACATTATTATCGTTATATACCGCACAATAGGTTATCAAGATGTGTTTTTAAATTCCATGCTTTCTGAATTTTTTGCCATCGATCTACGAATGGTCACTCCAGTGACCAAGGAGGTACGGGAGGGGCAAAGGGTTAATTTGTGTGTACAGGAAGTTTAGTAGTAAAGTCAACGGAAGAAAATTTTTTGTAAACACTGTTAGGTTTGCTGTTAGAGGATATACTCTCTCTCACTCAATGACTTTTGCTTGATTTTATTCTAAATTCTAATTTTTTTCTTTACAAATTATATATTAATTTACTTGTCAGACTGCCTGCTTGAAAATTATCACGAAATAACATAAAATCTGATCAGTATAATTTGACTTTTTTCTGACAATTAGGAAATCCGAATAGTCTTAGAAGACAAAATAGCGAGAAGATACGGTTGTCTATCATTTCTTTTACAAAGGTTTGCATTGTGCACTTGATTGCCGTTTTTGGCAATGAAGCTCAATAGATACCATCCATATACTTTTTCTTCTAATTTTTTATATACATAAACTAAGAAAGAATTCAAAACATTTATATATCGAACAAAACTTTGAGAATAAACTACCATCTGCCGTATTTACTAAAAATTTTCTTCTTTTCTGTAAACTGTACATGACAACGCAAAATGAGCAAAATCAACGTAATGAAGCTGTACTGCAAAAAAACAAAGATTAAATATTGCTGACATTTATGGTATTATTTATTCCACGAACAATCACATCAACAGAATGTGAGTATATCGGAGGTTTTAAGTGGATTATCATCGAACATTAGTGTATTCCTTGCTCTCTCTCCTGCGCCAAAACTATCTCTGACTGAATGTATAATACATGAAGACCCTATAATGAATTTTTATTAACTTTTTATTGGATTTTCGGAAGATTTATAATTGTGTTGTAGTGTAGAAACGGCTCCTACTTCAGTTATACTATAAGGAATTCATATTAATGCATATCATTCGAGATGATAAATATTGATAGGTACAACTTCACGAACTTTATCGATTGTCTACCACATTTCACTAACAAATGTACAATCGAGACTTTTGGATTGAACGGTCTTTTACACAGACGTTTTGTTCCTTATAGAAGACGTTAGGTTATATTTATTACTAGATGTCGAAACATAGAATCTTAACACTCCACGGATTTTGTGACAGTGCACAGCGTCGACATGATCAAATGCGATCATTAATCCGATCAATGAAAAATATTGAATTTGTATTTATCAATTCTCCATTTTTGTTTCACAATTATGAATTTTTAAAGACAAGTAATGAAACAACATGTGCAGAAATACAAGAGAAGAACGAAGCTACCATAGATATCAATGAACCAAGATATCAGTGGATCTCTTATAAACCAGACTATCCAATATCAAGATATAATTATGATACAATCGAACAGAGTATCGCATATGTCGTTAAATATATTAATGAAAATGGTCCATTCGATGGTCTACTAGGATTTTCACAAGGTGGAATTGTTTGTGCAACAATGGTTATTCAGAAAGCTTTCAATCAGTCAGAAAATAATTCGCAATTACGGTTGTCATGTCCTATTCTGCCAGATTCAATCAAATATGTCATACTTGTAGGTTGCCCATTTATTGGAGATAAAACAATTCAGCCTCTACTGGAAACAAATCGATCTCGTATAAGTTTACCGACACTTCATGTATCAGGCTCTGCAGATTCTCTTGTTTCAACTGAAATGAGTAAATCCTTATCAAAATATTTCAATCCATCTCAGTTTCACACTCATAAAGGAGGGCATTATTGTCCAAGCGATTCAGAATTTCGAAAAAAACTCCAAGATTTTATTGAATCGGCAACACATCCTTAACGGGGTGAAAAAGAGATTGTAGTGAGTGTTTGTTCTCAACAATGACTGATGTATTGTTGTTATTATTATTCTACTTTCACTGTTGATATTTTGATAGTTTTACTTAAACAACACAAGCATTCACATGTGTGTTATGTGTATGCGCTAATAAAAACCGTAATACCTCGATTTTGATTACAGGTTTATTGATATTTCAGTATGGTCGACAATTATAGAGGTAAATGGAAACGTCAATAAACAAAAGAAACACGGTATTTCATGACATCCTAGAGGATTTTTACTTTAGTGACAAAAATATCCGTACTTTCGGTATTGATGAAGCATTAGTACCGACCGCTATCTGAACTAAATTTTGCTATTCTAACGCAGAGCAGATACGAGTACTTGACGTTGTGAAAGAAACAGCTTTGTAATTTGTTGAGCAAAATATGCATTCATAAGCCTCATTCGACGCAGGTTTTGATGCTCTATAAAGTGAAGTGAATTGACGTCTAATGCAATCTAACAATTGTCAAAAAACTTTAAAACATCTTGAAAAGTACTTGTACTTGGCAAGTATAAGTAATTTTGCGATTATTTTGAGTTTATATGTAAATTAAAGCATTAAGCACAAGCTACTACTTATGGGTTACTTTATAGGGCATCAAAACCTCCGTCGAATGAGACCTATTGCTCAACAAATTAGAACACTGTTTCTTGCACAACATCAAGTACTTACAAGTACGCGTACCTACTTTGTTCTAACGTGATACGATAGAATTCTTTAGTGTTGTCTATTGATAGTGTATTTGATACTTTTATTTTATTTTATTCAAAAGTATCACAAACGTTTATGCTATACATGATCTATTTATACGAGCAAAATACAAAACACAATATAGTTGTACTACGTTCTTCAAGGTGTAAAAGTATAAAGTGTGCATTCACGCATCCAAAACACGTTTTATTGAAACTAAGACAGCAATGTCCTTATGTGCATGATGATAAAGCACGCCTCTTCGCAAACATTAATTTCTGTTATATTCACGTTTTGACACATGTATAAATATTTCTAGTAGCATAGTGTAGAAGATACTTTGAGGAAGAGCTTGGATATTAGACAATACTTTCAGAGAACGATTTATTAGTATAGTTCTGTTGTGCACTGAAAAAACATCTGATTGTTGCTATATGAAAAGTATATACTTATAAAAAGCAAAACAGAACAAAAGAAAATATATTTTTTCTTTTGTTTTTATTTTTTCTCTAACAATTCTTTTTTATTTTGATTCACATTCAAACAATTATATGAATACAACATTTATTTACATATCGTTTTGCAACGTCTTTATCAACTCTGTGGGTATTTTTATACAAGAATTATTATTTCGTTTCAATTATCCGACGTTACCATCAAAAATGATAAAACATAATTTTAGCTGTTTCAATTTGTTCAGCATATTTATTTATACGAAGTTGAGACAAAAATTAATGATGATAATACATGTCAAGCAACAGTTGAATTTCTTAACAATCATGCGTTTGAAAAATTATGCTCGACCATATGATGAAATAAGAACTGAAAGTTATGGAGATTTAAATGATACCAAAACACAATTTTCATATCGCTGAATATCATCGAGATTAGTATTAGTGAATATTTGAATTTTGAAAAATTTTGTGTAAAAACCAAAATATTATATTATTCTGACGATTTGCTGATCTGAATAACAATCGCCGAGTAATAGATCAACAATATTTATTATCTACCATTTTTCAATTTAATTGATTTGTTGACTTGATAATGATATCTATCGTCAATTTGTATTACAATACATATTCAAACACAAAGACATTCTTCTATTAATACATAACTAATATTATGAGACATATGCCTGCCATTTCTCATTAACTTATTATATTTTAAAAGATAGATCGGTTAACCTTCGCCAGTTTAGATTGACAAATCAAAATATGAGGGATATCTTCCTCTTTTTCAACGTTTCTCAATTACAACATAAGTTAATTTTTTGTCAATTTAATTAAATTTAAACATTAAAAACAATATCATATTAAAAGATTTATGCAGGGACAGAGTTTGTTTTGAACATATTAGTAATAAATTATTATTCACTGGACTAGTTTTTAACAAAACATTTACCTCGATCGAGCTTAAACTCAAATATAACAGATTCCTAATTCGATCGACAATACTCGTTCATAGGGATTTTCAATTGTCGGTTCTAATTCGAAAACCGAATATCACCACTCGTTGAGAGTAATGAGATTTGTGTTTTGTTTTTCATCTGTTTTGGGATATTGCCAGAAGGAAAAAGAATGATCAATGCCGCTGAGCGGATCTTTCCGAAAAATACTTGAAAATATAAGCATATTATAACTTCCCTTGTGTGTGTTTTGTGTAGTTTGGAGTGTCTATTTTTGGAACAGACCAGTTGGTCAAGTGCTGGTAATTCAACGTTACAGCAGATTTTTTTTTCGGTTTTTTTGGTATGGTTGGATAGAGCTCATCAAGTTGCACTGGAAAAATACAATCTCACGTTTTGAGAATTCATTTTTTGGTCAAAAAATTTAAAAATACCCATTTTTCGAAAACAAGCAAATTTTTCATATTTATTGTTTTTCTAAAATTTCAAAACTATTTTTTTCTGATTCTCCACTGGAAACTGAGTATAAAAAGCTGAATTTCTAAATTTTAAAGTTGAAATCGTCAAAGTCACGGAACAGGAGCAGAATTGTAGCTACCCTACTGTCAAATTTCCAAAGATACCTTTGAATTACCAGCACCTTATATCTTATTCTTTATCATTATCGGATTCTTCATGGTCGAAAATTTATTCTCACAAAATTCCTCTAGTGTACTCTTTATGTCAATGTATAATTGAGGTGCTTGGCGTTCAGGTAACTGATGACATCTGAGGGACGTTTCTAATTAGTCCCATCATTTGCAAATACCAAACAAATCGATGGAGAATGAGTCATGCCCTGATCTTTTGCGGTTTTATCAAATCCTTTCAGCAGACTGTAGATAGATTCGATTTCGACGTGTGGTACGCCATCAGAAGCAAACGATGCGCTTATTTCGTGCACTTTCCATACTTTAGCAATACAGATTCATTCCGATGAAAGTTTTACATTTAAACAAATACAAAATCAGATTTCATTTTTTTCGAACAAGCTAACACTGTCTCGGAAGCATGCTTTTGCATCATTAGCGCATTTAAAGTGTGTCGATGATACAGTTTTTAGAAGTGGCACACAAAAAGCGTCCAAAAATGTTACCACAGTGTGCCAAAAGCACACTAGAAATGTGTCAGTGGCACGGTAAAAACATGCTGGAAGCACATAAAAAGCATACTTCGGTACACTTTTTCCATGTCATTGGCACAATTTAAGTGTGCTTTTTCTAAAAGTATGCTTTTCCGGGGCAGTGAACAATTACGCAGATATTTACTACTCTAAAGTATAGAAAACGTCTCAATAGTGAATGTTTAGGGATCTTTAGCTTGTCCGAAAGAAATGGAATTCAGTTCTGTTTTTCTTGAAATTCAATGACTTTACATTGCTAAGATACTACATAAGCACATTTTTTTCCTCCAATTAAACATCATCGGTTCTGTCTCTTAAAAGGGAACATATAATAACGATTTTCAATGATAAGAGAACTCAGAGAGACGTGAGGTATCATAGTTCCTTCTATTCGGTCAAAGATGGACGGTTATGTCTTTTTTTTTATAGAGTATTACTAAAATGAATATCTCTGTTTGCTCTTTGCAACCAGTCTATACTGTGCAACATCCGTGCAATGTTAAGAATAGTGAACGTGCCATTGAAACATTAGGTGGTCAATCGCGAATTATTGATGTATTTCAACATTCTACTAGTCAACTGACATGCTCATTTACACCGACCAATATCTATGAAAGATCATTGAGATCCGAGAGACGGAAGATAACTGGGTTATTGATACGTGTTAAACGAAAAAAATCAAAGAAATCCATAACGAGTGTTGAAGTTGTTGGCGTACTCGATACAAAGTTTACGTTTGATACATTAGCTGATTTTCAATATCTACCTATGACACGAAAACAGCAAACAGCAGATGACTCTGCACCCGAATACGAATCGTTTCTAAAGCGTATAACTCTCACTCGTCAATGTTTAGAAAAAGAAAATTTAGAAAAACCTTGTCCTCTCATGTGTATACCGGCTATATTTTCGAGATTTTTTGAACCAACGGATTATGCATTTCGACCAGAACCAAAAACACGTCGAAGAATAATAACAACCACAAATAAATATCCGAATCATGCAAATAAATCAGATGACATGGCAACAAAGTCTGATAAAGAAAAAGATGATACTGTAGCGAGTAAATTAACAAAACCAATTGCACGAACATCTTGTGCACATCATGTTTATTTTGATACAGAACAGGTGCCAACAGGTAAAAGAGAAAAAGAGAAATAATATATTTTTCTATCATTACAAAATGTTGTTTTATTTCAGCATCAAAGTCGATCTCTGCTCCTTATACAAAAGCTGAACATAATACAATCGAACGATTACGTCGTTTATTTGATCAACGACCCATATGGACTCGAGCATCGTTGTTATATAATTTAAGAGTAACAGAAGTTGTTTTAAAACGTATTATTCATCATGTTGCTTATTTTTGTTGCAATGGACCGTGGAATAGATGTTGGGTAAGTTATGGTATTTTAGTATACATTTTTTCTAGGCTTTAATAGAACCTTACTTTTTAGGTAAAATATGGTTATGATCCAAGAACTGATTCAAAATCAAAAATTTATCAAATTGTTGACTATCGTGTTCGATCCATACTTGATCCAGAGAAAAAAGTTGTTCAATCGCGAACAAATCGAGCATATCATCGATCATCGTATGTATTTATGATTAATACGGAGAGGGAGTAGAAGTACACAGAAATTAAAGAAGTTTCAATATACATATTTTAGTTTAATTCCTAATCACATATTAAGATCTTTTACACAAAATTCACGTGAATATCTTGTAAGTTTTTTCTATTATATTTTTTGAAATATTATGCTATTGAATTAGTTCTTCATTTTAGGAAGAAACATTTGTATTTAAACGTACCAGTTTACCATTAGCACGAAGCATACACTATCAGTTATGCGATATACAGTTAGACGATGTACAAAAAATGATTCATTCAAATGATGGACAGGTATGTACACATCTGTTATTAATTAGATGAAAAAACAAAAAATTCTATCCTTAGCAGTTTGCATAGAAAATGTAGATAAAGGATGGGCCAGAAGTCCTGACTCGATTTGAATAATAAATTTTTCTATAGTGAAACAAGTGGTTGTAAATTTGTCTCTATGAAGAAAAGATGCAGTAAAAAACGCTCTACAAAATGACGATTG